GATTTCATATGGTAGCTAAAGAGAGACAACACAATGGCAGGTGTGTGTCTCCTACCTCCATGGTCCGAGCTGCATCTGTTTACAGATGCTTCTTTTACAGGTTGGGCACCAAGTATGGATTCTCTGGATATGTTGGATCATCGGTCTTTTGTTGAGATTGCAATGAACATAAATATCTTAGAGCATTTTGCCATGTCAGGCTTTGGATCAGTTTTACCTTTAGTATGAGGCAAATTGGTCTTGATCCATTCTAGTAAAATCTCCTGTTGTCTTGTACATTAATTGACAAAGTGACACCTGTTTTTGTTTACTGTGTTTCAGAATGCTAAAACTCCTGTTCTGGCCATATTCATATCACACTCACTTAGTAGTGTGTCATGTTTCAGGTGAGTTGAATCTTGTGGCTCAATTATCATATCCTGACAGGGTCCTTCTCTTGGTGTCATCCTATATTCCCAAGTTTTGTGAGGGTTATGCAATCAGTGAGGTACTCTACCTCTGGATACTTTTGCTACCCATCTCAATATCAATTTTTTTTATTATTATTTTTTTATTTTTTTCCAGTCCCTCATTCTTTGGTTTTAGCAGTAGATGCCTTCAGTCAGTATTGGACCAACACTTATCTGTATGCCTCTTCTCCTATCTGTTTCCTTCCCAGGATTTTATCTATCATCCTGTTCACTTCATGTTGTGTCTTCCTGATAACACCTTTTTGGCCAACTCACACTTGATCTCCAGTGCTTATCTACCTTCTGACAGCTTCTCCATTTCTACTTCCTCATTCCCAATCTCTCCTTTGTCAACCTCAGTCGATTGTATTTTATCCTTTAATTGCCACATTTCAGCTTCATGCATGGCTTTTATTCAGTCCCTTGCAAGGTGGCTTGAACTATCCACATGTGTAGCTTCTTTCCTTTCGTATTTTTTATGTCATTTTATTAGTGTAAATTTCATTGTTGGTCTCTGAACCATGATTACCTTCCTTCCTCTCCAATTGTTCCTCATGTCTCTGACTCTTTTACCTGGCTGTTTGACAATGGTTCTTCCATATCTATCTACGATGGATATCGAGCAGCCTTATCAGATACCTTCCATACTTTCCTGTTACTGCAGGGTGTTTTCCTCTCCTACCATTTCCCTTTTGATGCAGTTTTTCTGGATCCTTTGCCCTCCTCATCCTACAATCTTTCCGGATTGGCACCGTAATTTAGTTCTCTATGCCCTTACACAAAACCCATTTGAATCCTTGGCTATTCATTTCCTTTACCTTTTATCCCATAAAACCTATTTCCTGCTACTTTTTGCCTGTGGTCATCAGAGGTTGGATGTTTTGCCATAATCATGTGTTCTTTTCCAACATGCCTATGTTCTTCTGTATCTGGATCATAGTTTTTACCTAAGATGTCAATGGGTTGTGAAGGCAATGATTCCTTTACACCAATCTCCCAACCTTCCATTTCACATTTTTATTCCAGTTCAGATGCAGATACATTTATATCCTCTGCGAGTTCTCAGATGTTATATTGCCCAAACGGCTTCCTTTTGTGGTTTCATTCCTGTTTATTCATCCACTGCTTCTCTTCACCTCAAAGAGTTATTTCACCTGCCACTCCAGATTGCATTTGCTAAGTTATCAGAGTGGCTTGTTCTTCCTGGTTTTCCAGTTCCCAATGTTTTTCCAGATGTCATCTCATCAACTACAATATTGTACCTAGCATGTGGGTTACACCAACCATATTCATCTTCCATTACCTGCATCACATGGCTGTGTCCTCCTCATCTGGATATTGTATACTCCACACATCGGTTCAACTATGAGGGGGTAAGTGATTTATATTTCTATATTTCTCTTGCATGGTCACAACATTTTCTATATTTATTCCTACTCTGTGGTGAGTGGTGCCTATCCAGGTATACTAAGTGTTAAATCTACACTGTAAGGCCTTTAAGGTCTATTCCATTCACTATTGAGATAGTGTTCCACAAGACCACTTGTAGGTTCTTCCTCACAGTGTTTTGCATCATAAACTTGTCTGTCCCAGATCATATGCTTATGGACTAGCATGAGTAAAGCAGAAGGGGATTGCAGCCTGTCCCTGCCACTCCTTTGAGTGAATAAATTTGGGAACAGCCTACTTTTAAAAATAGGGTTTTGTGGTCATGCATTGCATTTCTCTGGTGCTGCATTCCTCATAACTTTCCAATGCATTCCCCTTTGATTTTCTAGTGGAGTACGGTAGTTCTTACCACTTACTAACTCCTAGCTGCTAGGGTGGTGAACCATGAAGGCTTCCTCTTGAATGTGCTCAATCCTACTCAGTTGAGAATAGGGCGGTGATGTTCTGCAGGTGCAGATGGTGTTGGACTCTCCTTCTACCATGGACTTGATGTACAATTCCAGATGTCATTTGGTTTTGGAATATATGAATCCACCAATGAAAAGACAGTTTACCTCTCTAGATGGGAACCCTCTTTTCTACCACTGCTTGTATGTCAGTCTCCATGCAACTGGTGTTGGTTAGAGCTGTACCAGCCAACATAAGTCCTCACATGTGAGTGGGCTGGGACCCTCCTCATACCACAGACTGGATGATACATTCCCGATGCTTCATGGCTTTAGACTAGGTTGACCCTCCACATTGCATTCCACCTTCCTACTGCCATCTAGATGTCAGTTCCTGGAGGACAGGTGTTGGTCGTATTAGTCGCACACACAATGATGGCTTGGGTTCTCAGAATGGAAGTGCTTCTTCACTTTTGGTTCATGAGTCTGATGTGAAGTTGGTGGAAGATCTCCTGCTGTTTTGGGCCAGATAATCCATTCCCAGTACCACAGTCTGATGCACTATAGCTACCCTACATCATGGTCACATCTGGCTTCAGTTGGTCGAGGACCTCCTTCTACCATGAACAAGATATTCTGTTCCCAGTTCTGCCGGTTGGACTGGAGTTTATCTCCCGACTATGGTCTGACATGCCCTTTCCATGCTATACCTCGGGCACCTACAACTCATTATCATTTGTACCTCTTTTCTGCCCATTTAGTGACACTCATTCATGAAGAGTGAAGAGTATACCTGATTTAGATGTTCTCAGAGATGTCACACTCCATGGGTTCTCTTTAGATGCATTCTGGAGGGGGCTCATCTAGGTAATTTTGCACCAGTCCCTCTACCAGATCAATGTGGGATTCTAGATATTATGTGAAAAGAGGTAAGGTATGATATTAGAAGTTATAATTTTTCTATGCAGAAAATGTATTTCTGATAGCTACTTCCGCTCACACTTCCCACCCTTCCTCCTACTTCCGGTGCTTCTTTTATGCCTAATCATAAAGTGAAGATTGGGTAAACCTGTGTAGAGGGAGCCAGCTGCATCAGGAGAGTGTCATGTTTCTATTGGTGGAGAGTTGCCACAAGATTATTTGCTTGCAAAGACATAATAGAACCACATTAATCGTAGGTTAAGTGGGAGATTCAAAGCTAATGGTGAGTGAATAAATTTGTGCATTTAGAAGGCAATGCTGAATGAGAAAAACTATTATGTGAGCAGAGTCATCTATCAGAAATACATTTTCTGTGTAAGAAAACTATAACTTCTAGTTCTATGTTTTTTCCCAATCAAGAATAAAGAAATTATATGTTTTATGAATGTAAATCAACTTTCAGATTGAAAATCAGTTGCACCTTTGCAAGTTACAGCACTGTTAATGTTACTTGTACAAGTATTATAAATATTAAAATATGATTTTTATCTTTGGTATTTTTGTTATAAAAAGTGTGTTCCTGTTGTTATATATAAGAACATATAGTGCCTTAAAGAATAGATACAAGGCATATACAAGAAAACGTGAAACAGTATAGAAACCCCGGTGATGTTAATGTACAGGTGTTGTTACCAGCTTCCTAGGTGTTACATAACTTAGGGATGTCAATTTGTTTAGCATAATTGACATTTTAAATTTTGAAGGCATAGGAAAGTTAGCACTTGGTTGAGCTAAGACTTTAAAACTTGATGCTCTGTATGATGCAAAAAATATCAGTCCTTATAAAGAATTTCTTGACCATGATGTGGATTATAAGTCCCACAAACTTTTAGGTGAGAAGATGCTTATGCAGTTAGAGGCAGGTCACCCACATGAGAACAAGCTTCCATCAATATTTTGAGATAAAGAGCTATGACACATTACTATTTTTTAATTGGAAGAATCAACAAAAATATTATGAAAAGTACAGGACAGGGTGGAAAAGTTTTAGAAGTGATAAATAGTACATAGTGAAACTGAACAGTAATATGACAACAAACCTGGAAATTTGCAATGATGGTACCATAGTGCTAAATAAAAAATTTCACTAGTAATGAATAAAACAATCAATTTATCAACATTGAGAGTTTGATGTTGAAGTGTGGCCAAGTTATACAAGGATGCCCTATTTGATCATTTCATATAGCTGTAGGGATAATTAGGCATTTCAGAGTCAGTCATATGGTTGAAAGCACACTTGCCTAATATTGTCAAACTATTCCCAACACCTCAGTAAGTTTGATAGAATGCATCATTGTTTTGTGGTGTATGCAAGATGACTGGTAAACTTCCATATTTGAAGGACAGTTTATCTATGACCAAAAGGAATATCAAAATTTTTCTTAATATACTTTTTTAATCTTATACTGGCCCAGAATCAGTATAAATGTCATAGACTCAAATAAAATAGTATAATAAATCAAATATCAAATTTTGGTAAAAAAAAAACATATAAAGGTGCCTTTTCTTGTAAAGTGGCTATTAAATTCTTCAGTTTCGTGTTAATTCACAAGCAAAAAGTTGTGAAAAAAATACACCATCTTCATAGCCTTGTGTTTCTACTCATTAGTGCAGATTCCATTCAAGTCTTATCTGTGTGTATCGCAAAATTGATTTAAGGATATGCATGCTGTTAATATTTCTAGAATGTTTAGTTTTCAAATAATTTACAGCTTTTTGTGTTATTCTGTTACAGCCCTGTTCATGGCAAGAGTTCACAGACATTCATCCTTTTGTACCCAAAGAACAAGCAGAAGGATACAAACAATTGTTTGAAGAGCTGGAGCGAGATCTGTGTGAAATAACTGGGTTTGATAACATATCTTTTCAGCCTAACAGGTGTGTTTGTGTTTTAACAGTTTTGTAGCGGGTAGGTCAAAGTGTGGATGACACAACTTTTTATAGTTATATTCAAAAACATAATTAAACTACTTTGTTATCAATGTATATGAATAAACTTGGCATTAAAACATAGTTAATAAATCAAATTTTAATATTATATAAGTTTTAAGTTCTTAATTTTATAAGGATATATTTTTAAAAATCCTCAATCTTCCCTGGTAAAAAATTAAGAGCAGTCTTACATTTGCTTGCTTGACAGGAAACAGGCTGTTCTTAGATGAAGTCCCTCAACAATTTGGGCTGCTTATCTTTCAGAACCTCCAATTTCCTCTCTGCACTACAGGCCATAGGCTTTTGTCATATCTTCTTGCCTCTGGCCATATCGGAAGTGTATGTAGTGCTGGTCGTGAAAGGACCAGTAGCAGTATCTTCAGATTGTTGTAGGTCTTAAGGAAAGTCTTCCTCCCATGAGGGCAGGTCAGGCTCCTCAAGTAAAAGATAATTCAGCAATGCTGGTTCTTCAGGATTCACTGTAACAGCCATTGCTGTGTGTGTGTGTGGTTTCTTCCTCTGAATTTATATATAGAGGATGTTATTAATATTTAGTTAATATAAATGAAAACATGATATACATTTGAAATATCGAGCTTAGACTTAAAAGTTCTAAGAATACATTTAACAAATTTAGTTAACAATTACAGTTTTACTGTTTGTCACAAAAGTATTTAGACAGGCTAGTAGTACACATAAACAGTTTCTTCTGTTTATACATAAAATTGTAAGTGTTTCTTAAATGATATCATACTTTATTGTAAGCTATCAATCCATGTACATTTTTTATGTATGTTTACAGATCTAAACATAAAATCACAAAATATATTGAAAACTACTTTAAATGATCTAAGACTACAAATCTGATTTAAATATTCATTGTAAATAAGGTAATAATCTGTGGAAAGTTATTAATCACATGTTATATGACTATCTGAGCAAAAGCATATATCTTACATTATGTGAGATTCCAAAGGTTCAGATATAACTTTGATTTCACTGTTGAAACTCTAGAGGAAAAATACTTTATTAATTATTGATATTCTGTAAACTTTATAAACATAAGAAATTAATACTTTGTGTAAGTGCCAGGTAGAATTAGTATAAAGAAGTATTTTTTTCATTTTGTCCAAAATACACTGAGAACAACTTTCAATGAAGTTAGACAAATGAATCCTATTTAACTATTCAGCCTAAGTAAGATAAAAATCTGTGAATATTAAAGAAGAACGTGTGATTTTAATAAAAGCAAATATCTTACCTTATGCAAGATTCTTCTGTTTTGTGATTATTTCACTGTTCACACTGTAGAGAAATGTAATTATTAATTACTTCTATCCTAGATAGTTAATAAACACGAAATTAATATTTTGTGTGAGTGGCAGGTAGAACTAGTACATATAAAGTGTTTTTTCGGTTTATACATAAAACTGTGAATGCTTTTGACCTTACACTTTATTGAAATGTATCACTCCATGTATGTTGGTGATATATACGTGTATAGACCAAAACATAAAATCACAAAATACACTGAAAACTAATTTCAGTAAAATAACCTTGTTTAAATGTTCATCATAAGCAATATAACATCTATGAATATTATGTATAAAAGCACATCTGACCTTAGATGAGATTTCAGGTACTAAGGTCTGTGGACAACAGGCTCTTACAGAAAAGAAACAAGCTTGGACAATGGACAATAGGCTCTTACAGAGAAGAAACAAACTTGTATGACTGACTTTCTCCTAGTAACTAAAAAGTTATTATTCACTTAGGAGCCTTGTATATATTTCAAACTTAGAATGCATGTGAAAACAAATTAATACCATGTTGGTTGTGAAAAGACTAAACACATTCACGTCAAAAAAGGAGGTTAAGCATTGAGGGTACTTGGCAGAATATGTACTTTGTACATTCAGACAGAAGGGTGAGAATATGCCTGTGTTTTGAATTACAATATAAATCTTGCCTGTGGACAGATATAATGAGAAGAAGGTGACCTAGACTAATCTTTTAACTGTTGTAAAGTAACTTTCTTTGTAATTTATGGTATCTGCTTCCTTTGGTAAACTCTTGTTACAATATGTATCATAGAGTAAGGATCAGGCAGTGTTATACAAACTTCCTGTATTGTAACTTTGATATACATTCAGTAGTAGTGGTAGTTAAAGTTGTACTTTGTATCATGAAGCCATACAAGAACATTTGCTAAAATAAACTTGTTTGAAGGATCAAACAACTTGTATTCAAGTACTGTATACACAATATTCCAATATGTTCTTAGCTTCTCTGACAGAAAGCTATCTCGATCTTCTTTCTGCTCTCTAAGCATTGCTAAAATATTTTCATGTTCAATGCACCAGTCTATATGACCCATCAATTTCACGCCATTTTTTAACATTTACATATCATGTGACTACTATTCTCCAATAGTATTGCACCACCTATATTGGTGCAGCTAGCTCCTACTATTCCCACTCAATTCTCACTATATCGTTTAGTCGTGTGTTTTTTGCATGTGACTACAGCTTCTGATTGTGCTTCTTTGCCACTTCTAATAAATTTTTTTCAAGTTTTATTTTTATGTGTTTGAATTCAGTTGTTTCAACTATTTTGCAATTGATTTTGTTTCTTGTTACCGAATTATAAGTGAACTTAGTATGAAATCGAGATTCAATTTGTCGGAAATGGAAATTCCTGTGACAGTAGACAGCGCAAATGGTATGACTTCCCAGGACTCAGGTTTGACTTTATCTGCAGAGGAAGTACAGACTTTAATTTGCAGGGAGCTAGAGTTATATGTTCAGATGGCAATTTCTTCTCCTTTTCAACCTGAACATGTTTCTGAAGAAAAATACCATCATGGTGAAGAGGATTTGGAAACTTTTTTTTTTTGGCATCTTCTTATTTTGGTAATTCACAATGTACACCTATTCAGGAGATTTCACCTCCAACCCCTTTTTTATAATTTATTAATTAAGTATGTAGTATTTTACATTTCCCATATTGCCTGTGATGCCTCTCCTTCTTTATTGGGTGACATTCCATCTTCTAAATTTTATTTTTTTCCCCTTCACCCGACATACGAGTTCCTGCTCTAAGATTTTCTGACTAAACTCAGTCAGGTGTCAGTTATGCCCATCCCTTTTGTTTGTTGGACCAACATGCTTTGGCATACCATTGCGCTTTGATCCATATTTGGATTCTCAGCAATTCGATCCTTTACTCTCCCTGTGGTGTTCAAATCCTGGGGTTTTGGTTCATTTTAATCAGGCTTGATTCTTAAGGATTCTCCTTTCCCTCTCCACCCTATTATGCTACCTGTCTTCCCTCCAATTATTGTCTGAAGCCTTTCATCACTCCCCTGAACTTTTTTCAGATGAGCTCAGGGTCCTACTTTGGTCTACTATGACTCATTTCTTGACCTCCACCCCTTCCCTAAATACCTGGCTCCTGTGTTGAGGAGGAATGCTTTACATGTAGGGGTGCATCTCTCCCATTCATCCCTGCAAGATCTGCAAAAGGTTCCCTTCCTATACAATACCATATTTGGAGGTTGACCTGATTTCTTGGAATCCAGGATTGATGTGGCTAGATTGCATTCACCCTTGTTTTCTCTGGCCACATGTTTATCTCACCCTCCTGCTTCCTCCCACGAGTCACCTGTCTTTGATTCCTGTTCTTCCTTGCCCAGACCCTTGCCTTCCTCCCAGCACTCCCTTTTCTACCCTCGTATTTCCTGAACTTGAGCTGAATGATGCCAGTGTTAAAGATGACATGACAAAGGTTCCCAGACTGCTAGAGTCCAGATTGCTCCACTTTTTGGCCGTGTGACAGAATTTCATGACTGTTATGTGGTATATACGGGTTCTGTCAAGAAGTCTCTGCCTTCTGTTCTGGTCTCCACAATCCCCTTTCCTATTATCCTATTTCATTCCCACCTCCTTGGGATCTTCCATCTCTCTGTTATCTTACCGAGACTATCTACGACCTGCTTCACAAAGAAACTATTGAGCAGGTGTGTCCCATTCAACTGGAGTTTTAGTTTTGTCTCTTTGTGGTTCCCAAGAAGATGGGAGATCAGAGACCCATCATAGATATGTGCCAGTTGAATTCTTTTCTGGACCCTCCTTGTGTCACTGTTGAGTCCTGTCTGTCATTTCTGTGAGTGTTTTCTCTTCATTTACAGTTGAGTGATACATGATTTCTGCTTGTGATACCGGTTACTAGATATTATCCTGTTCATATGGTTGAGTTGAGGCAATGCCACAATATTGTAATGCTGGGCTTGGTTTGTTTTATTTTTTTTAACATGTTCACATGCTTTTTGTAATTCCAGTTGCATGATGTATGACACTGTTTACTTACATTTGAGGTTGATGAGTATATGTAACATGGTCAACATGCTTTAACCACTGTTTATGTTACAATATATTTGTTTATTTTTATTTATTTTTTATCCTCAACCTCCTTAGGCCAAGAATGAGTTATGGAACCTCATCTGTCCAGTTAAGGTTGTGTATATAAATAACTAATTCTGTTTATATTTTATTATGGTTTGCACCTCTCAGAACAAATTGCATTTGTCTACATCCTTTTTTTCTACCTGTATCAGATTCATTTCCTACTTCAAGGGTGAAGGGCATATCTGTTCCATAAGTAGTGTGATACTCCACAGGGGTGCTTTTTTTTTTCATTTCAGAGCACACCTGTTCATTCTTGGTGGTCGCTTTCCACTTGGTTTCAATTTTGTACACCTAAACTAGCCCCTCCACCCATAAAATGTAGGAGTCTAATTTTGTGTGAGAGGAGGTAGGACTGTATCAGAAGTTAACATTCTCCTTACACTGAAAATGTATTTCCAATAGGTACTTAACAAATCTCACACACACATCCCACCCTTCCTCTTCACTGCTGATGTTATTTTATTCAAGCCTGCCAATTCAGGAAATTGAAGATTGAGTGGGAATAGCAGAGGAAGCTAGCTGCACCAATATTGGTGGTGCAATACTATCAGTGGAGAGTAGTTACATGATATGTACATGTTCATAAATGGTGCAAAATTGATGGGGTATATAGACTGATGTGCTGATAGCTAAGATTTGTTTAGAGGGCACAACGAAGGTTGAGATTGCTTGGTGTTAGAGGAGGCGAGTACCTGTCAAAAATGTTTTCAGTGTAAGAAAAATGTTAATGCATATATATACTTTCTTACTATTATTTCTACAGTAATGTTCAAATGCATCCATGCTAGTTAGTGAGAGGATCAATGCTGCGAGCGGGTGTGAGATATGATTACAGCAACTGAATGCTATTCATGCTGTTGATGTCATGCTTTTATTGGCACAATAGATAAAATTATGTGTACAATCAAATGTAAACTTGAAATAAATATAAGTACATTTATGAAAGAAGATTAAGATGTTTTATATATATATATATATATATATACATGAAATTCTATTCAAGAGTAAAAAATACTTATTGTTTGGGTTTAGTTGGGAATATAATTTCAAGGAATATACAAGACCAAAAATAATAAGGACAGTACATGATTAAAAATTGACATTTTATGGAATGATAAAATGTTTTTAAGAGATTTTTAGAATAATGAACTTAAACATAAAAGTAAGAAGTTCAAATCTGGAACAAATATAAGTATTTTCATTTTTTCTAATAACAACCAGTTCCTAATGTAATTTCCCATGATTTTGAAACAGATAATGTATCAAAGTAAGATACTTTTATTTTTCTGAAACTATGTGTTTTTACCAAAGTTCCTGTCAAATTTCAAACAATATCATCCACTAGTTTTATTTTTAGAATGAAATGTGATAAGAGCTACATTATGTACTTACAGTGTAAACTCCTAGTAGTCATAGGGTTGATTAATTCTTACTAAGTTTCTCAATAATTGATAATAACTGAACTTTAGATCTTTCATCTAATAGGTAATCTAAAAATAAATCATTCAGTGAGGATATATCCATCAATTATGTTGTGTTGTTCCCTTTATTGAGATTTCCTGTAGACATATTTTAGTTTTTCAGAACAGTCCACTCATGTCAAATAATGATTGCTTATATTACTTCATTGCTGATTTTAGTAATTCTCTTTATAGTGGTGCCCAAGGTGAATATGCAGGATTAAGAGCTGTAAAATCTTACTTGAAAGCTATCGGACAGCAACAAAGAGATGTAAGTGTGGTATTATCAGGTAAAACCGATTATTCCTAGAGCAATGGGCTAAGTCTGCTGAATAGATGGAGATCCGACAAGACATCTTTTACAGTGTAATACTGATTTTTTCTGATTACCTGAGTTTGTGAGAATGAAATAGAGACTGGACAAAATGTAAAATACAAAAGAAATACAATTTTTATTATAACAGAAGACACACACACTTCATATTTACTTGCTTAGACGATGGACTGTTGCTTCTGCTGGATCAGAACTGTTCTCCATCCAAAATTGAATTGCTCCAAGCTATTAGGACTACCCATGTGAGTAGTCATTTTCATTCAGACATAAGTGGGACCATAACCTTGACATATTACTTGACCTACCATTGAACAACACTACTGTCCACATTCTTGTACAATGTGCAGCATTATAACCACATAACCCATGTGCAGAACAAGACAATGATGAAGGAACAAATGCAGCTAGAAGGAAATCACTAAACTTTTCTTGACCATGTGTTAGGTGCAAGCTGCCTGTTATTACTTAGAATAGCTAATAGATTTAAAATAATACTATATTAATATAAGAAAGTAGAAATGCATGGCATGTTTTTGTGTCGTATAAGTATAACTTCTAGAATAACTAAGTTCAATAAAATGAAACTTCCTGAATTTTGAGTTTGATAATACTGAAGTTTTCTAAAAATATTATTTCCAGGTTATAGTTGTTTTAAATTGGGGTGTCATGTATAAACTAAATTAGGTGTGTGTATGTATGCATTATTTATTATTTGTGAAAGATTTTCTGTTGTGATGTGTGTACATACAAGCATTATTAATTGCATTTGTAAAATACTTTCTCTCATATGACATCACACATATAAACTGATTTAGATGTAAGTATCTCTGTGTTATTCAATATATGTAAAATATTTCTCTGTCAGGTCTGTTTAATACCAGTGTCAGCTCATGGGACAAATCCTGCTAGCGCACACATGGCTGGAATGATTGTAGAACCTGTACGGTTAAACAAGGATGGTAGTATTGATGTTGATCATCTTAAGACACGGGTAAGAGTTTCATTCACAAAATAGAAAACTCACTGTACCATAAAAAATCATTAACCCTCTTGCTATGGGCAGGTCAAAGTGTGCATGTCATGACAATTCAAAAGAGTTACATTCAAAATTTAATTAAACAGCTTTATTTTCATTGTATGTGAATAAACTCATCATCAAAATGTAGTTAAAAAATCCAGTCTTACTATTACTCAAGTTTTAACCTACTTTTATATGGAAATATTTAAAACAATTCTCAATCTCACCTTAGTACGAGAATTGTGACATTTGTTCTCTAGGTATCCCCTTTTCTCTAATTAATCTATTTACCACCCCTTCCAGAAGTGTTGAATTTAACTTAAATTACTCATTATAGTATAGTTATTACTCAGGCAATGCAAAATTTGTATAGCCATCAATCTTATTTATTTATGGAGCCATAAATTAGAAAATCAGACCCCCTCTTGCCATGCCCACCTGTCATATTCTGTCTTTCACAAATTGCCAATAGTTCTCTCTGATGTTAAATATTATATTATTTATAACTAATAGAAAGTCAGAGTTTTAATCTATCAAATGACATATTATATTACATTGTTTTTGATTCAAAGATTGTCTATTTCATATCTAGTTCAAGCTTTATTCCAATGGGAACACTTCATTGAGCTTAGATTTATTTTTAATGGCTCTTATAACATAGTTAGAAAGCGTGAAAAATTGTGGCAGTTATGGGACCTTGTCTGCTTTTTGCAAATTATGATTCTGTGTTCTTAGGTGTATTATTTAATTAAATAAAAAAATTATTAACTCTCTCAACATGGGCTTGGTCAATTTGACCAATCACGTAACCTCTTTGTACTTGTTTATAATTTTTTAGTTTTGATACTACTAACCTTTGATATAGTATGTTTATCTTCGCAACATTTGGCAGACTTTCAGTAAACATTATAAGTATTTCACATACAAAAAATCATATTTTTAGTGAAGTATTTTTAATAAACTAACAAAAGATTTGTCTCTGAATATATCAAGTATTCTTTTTTGACTAGTCCGTGTACAAAGTGATTTTCATGTTAAGATTAAAAATAATTTTCTTCATCTCAAAAATCTCTAAATCTCTAAAACCTTCTACAACTTTTCAAATGTTTTTCAGCAAAACTTTATATTTTATCTGTTATTTTCTCTACCCTATCTCAAAACAGGATCGGTTACTTTGAGCAACCTCGTAACCACCAAAAAAAACTTAAATACACTTAAATCACCCTTTTTTTCTTTCTAGAATGATTTCAAACTGTGACATGAAACTACATTTGTTTATCCTAAGTAGCTCTATGTTCTTAACAGTATACATCTATCTATAATTAGATTTTATTGTTTTATTGCCCCTTGAATCATGTTATTAAACTACTATCCAAGCCATTGTAAGTTGTAAATCACTTGGGGAACTTGCTACTCACGTTACGCTATCGAATTCGTGAACCATTTTAATTATATTATTTTTACTTATTTTACCTAATCTAGTCTTAAATAACTTAAAAGATCCATATT